ATCCAAGAAATTCTTTATCAATGAAATTGTATAACATGATTAACACTGCTTACTTCTTATAGATAAAATCCTTGAAATAAATATGCTTTGTAAGAGAATTACAATAAGATTATAATTGTGAGATCAAAATTGCATTAAAGCATTATTCTTAAATTTTTCATAGTAAATACTTTGTCAAAAAAGGATATTGATAAAAGCTATTGAAACTGACACATGGTTATACTCTTACTTATGAAGCAAGCAACCAATCTTATATGTTGAAGTTTAGGTAAACTTGAGCTAACATGTAAGTGCTTGTTACAAAAATAAGTTCACTGAATATAATCCGAGATGAGAATACTATATGATAGTTCACATAGTGTCTATAGTTACATTCTCATATGATAGTTGTATAAATGATCTTTTGACTTTAGATTACTTACGATTTTATATGATGAATATTATATTTTGATTTTACTTATGATTCTAACCAAGAATGCTACAGTCAAGTATTGTTGGGTATAACTTGATGCATATGAAGATGCATGAAGTAATTAAGGTAAGATTCATCACCTTGTGTGATTAAAAGAATATCTCAACTAGTCTTGATTAAATTAACTTAAGAAAATCTTTGGCCAAAGTGAAATAAAAGTTTAAAAATTTTTTAAAACTTATTTATGAGTTAATGTCAAGGACAAAACTTAACATAGTTAAATATGATTGAGTAAACACTAAACTATACATAATGTTCAAACCGAGATACTATATGATGAAAGAAAATTAATTATATACTAAGATCATTCACGGATAAGTTGTTAAGCTATATTACTCTTCTTTAACAATTGGGGATCATGGCAATATAGCTAACACTAATCACGATCTATAAACATAAGATTGACTAATTAGAGAATTAGTGATGAAGTTAAAAAGTTTGATTCATCTAAGTTCAAATATAAGGACTACAATGCTTATTTTTATTGTTAACGTGCTAAAGAACCTAATAGCTCACACATAGTAGGATATGTTGTGAAAGATTAAAATCAAGATAAAATAAGTCAGACCTAATTTATTGGGTTAAAATCGAATATAGAAAAACATACAAAAGTTTAATACTAAATAGGACACGGCATGACCGGCCGAGTAAGTAATCCTACTGAGAATAAGACTTGATTAGGGGTTATTCTATTAAAAATAGAATTAAGCATAACAAAACTTTAACACCCTAGGGTTTTGACTTACTCATTGTTTCTATATAAAGAACTTAAGCCGGCCTTTCTCTTATAACATTATAAGAGAATAGATATCTCATATGTTGAGAACAATTGAAAGAAAAAAATATAAAGAGGGCAAATGACAAATCTTACTAGCTAAAGATTTCGTTTTTGAGTTCTTCCTATCCCTTGGAAAAGGTCATTTCACCTTGTTCATATAAATCACTATTAGAGGCTGAACACTTAACAGTTTTTTAGCTTGAAAAAAATATTTGGAAGGTTACCAACTTAAACAAAAAAAGTTTCAGCATTCAAGGTAGCAATCATAGTTGAAACCCATATAGTTTGTATATATTGTGTGTTTGTATGATCTTATTGATTGATCTTGCTTTAGGGAATTAAAAAATTAAAAAAATTTTGTTGTTTTAACTTTGATTATTGATGTTTAATTCCTTTTATTGGCCTTCTTCCTCATAAAAAATCATGCCTTAAAACTCACTTATTAAGGTTTGTGATTTTTTTTTTTAAGTACTATTATTGTTCCCTTTAGGGATCTAGTTTTTTTTTTTTTATTGTGTATTTTTTTTATGTTTTTGGTGACTTTCGATTGCTAGACAAAAGAAAAAGAAAAAAAAATTGATGTTTGATTTTTTCTGGTAAGGCTAATTGTAGTGGGGACCAATTAGGCTTTTGGTTGAAATAGGTAATTTTGTTGGTTTCATAAAGTGAAAGTAAAAGTGAAATAAATTTTGCATTCAGCCATAAATATAAGAAAACATAACGGAGATAAGGGTTTTTTATTTTGAGTTATTTTATCTCTTCTTGACATTGTTGGTAATCTTAAAAACCTTTAAGAAATCATATTATGTAAACCAAACTTGTGAATCACATTACAAAAAATTATATTTCTTAGGGGATTCTTAGAGTCCGTTAATCAAACATCTTCTAATAGTAAAATTTTTAGACTTCATGATTTTAATAAAATAATATATACCCTAAAATAAATTTAAAAATAAAATATTAATTAAAAATATAGTATATATTAATTTTTTAATACTAATAATATATCAAATAATTTTTCATAAATAAATCCAACCATTATGCTTTTGGTTAACTAAAAAAAAAGCAACCAGAATTTGACAAAACCTAAAGCCAACCATTAAAATATATTGGGATTATTTATTCAACTACATGAGATAGTATAAGTCATTGTCGCATCCAAACTAGGGATAGTAATTTTATCCGTATTTGACAAATTATTTATTTTTTGTCTCGAATAAGTATATAAATATGGAAAAAATTTTATATCTAATTAGAGTAATCAGATTTGGATATATTAGATTTGAGAATGGGATGAAAGAGGTGATACTTATTTTACAGCTCACCATATACTTGATAAATATAAATATGCCTATCTTATTTTTTTTAACTTTTTATAATTAAAATAATACATAGTTTACAAAAAAATATTTTACAAACCAGTTTATCAAATGGTATTTTACATACCATTGATCAGAATTTGATATGACAACTAGTAGATTGACACGTTCAAAATTAAGATGGTTACGGCCGCATAGTGGCATGTCTCATGCCAGCCTTTATTCATGCATGCGATGGAAGTGTAACCCAGTAGGGCGCTCAATTAGCTGCTCTTATTCCCTCCCTCAATATCAATATAAATAAAAATATAAAACAAAACATGATCCTGCCAGCTTCCAAACCCTTTTTTTTTGTCCTCTCTATAAAAAGGCCATTAATTGGAAAAGAGGAAACTAAAGAAATCTGAGGTTTCAAATTTTCGATTTAATCCAAAAAACTATTTTTATTATTTTTATTTTTGAATTAATTTGTGATCCTTACGGTGCATAAATTTTTTAATTTTGTATAAATTTATTTTAATTAATTAAATTTAATGTGATAATATTATATTTCTTTTAACTAAATTTATATATTGTTATTGTATTTATTTTAATTTAAAATTAAAATATCAAAAAATTTTCCATACAAAATTTCATTTAAAATTTGAAAGTATATTTTATTTTTATTTTTATTTTTTTTGAACAACCTATATTTTAGGTTTGATAACTTAGAATTAAAAGAAGAGATTTGGATTTTAGTATAAAATGTGTGTAAAGCACATAAAAAATGTATCATTAATTCATGATTGGACAATCATTCATTTTAAAATAAATTATTTTAATTTTTATGAATTTATCAATCAAACAAAAACATTAAGAGAATTTATAAGTTAAAAAATATATGTTAAAAAAATTTAATAATTTGATTGCAGTCAATCCATTGGTATTTATCTTTGTTAATTAACCATTAAATAATAAAATTAAAAACTTTTATTAGCGAGCACATTTATTCTATACTTATACATACCACTTTTTCCCCTTGATATGTATATATATTTTAACATATATATTAAGATTATATTTGAGATTAGATTATAAATATAAAATATCAGATCATATAAAAATTCAAATCAAGAATATGTAGTACTAATTTAATGTAGGATAAAATTTATCTAAATAAGGTAATGAAAATTAAAAATTTGTTATAAAAAGTATATAGTTATTAACTTAATGACAATATAGTTTTCAAATTTTGTAAGTTTTTGTTCAAATGTCAAATAGTTGATAGATAATAGTTTTTTAAAATATGTTTTTTATATGAATTAATTAATTGGAAGTAACACAAATTCTTTTATTATGAGATAGAATAGAAATCTTTCATTTAATATAGTATTTTAATATTCAAAAGACAATATATAAAATTAAAATTTGGTATTCAAATAATAGCTTAAATTTAAACTTTTTTCAGTATTAATTATTAAATGATAATACATCAAAGCAAACTCTTATTCTTATGTAGTGTCAATATTGAATTTTAAAAGTTAAGAATGGAATTTAATTTTAAGCAATTTAAGGTAAACAATAATGAAAAATTAAATTTTAAACTTAAATTGTAACTTATTTATAAAAGGCAAAAACATTGGTTATTTATAAAGAAATGATTATAATATTATATTTACTATATAAATAATTAAGATAAATCAATTCTTAACTCTTAATCTTTTGAAAGGTTTAAATCAAGTTTCTAGATAGTATTAGTTAAAAATGTATTAGTTAAATAATGTTAAAAATGTATACTATCCACATTAGATAATTTTTTTTTTTTATTAGAGGTTTTAACTTTTATATAGTTATATAAGATGAAAATAAGATATTTTAAACTAAATTTATTTTACCATTAAATTTTAAATTTTAAATTTTAAATACAGAATTAATTTTGAACACATATTAATTTTATAAATTGTCTACATATAAAAAATGTAGATTATCTACATCATATTTTTTTTGTTAGAAATTTTGATTTATATATATCTATATAAAATTACATGCTATATAATAATAATAGGAATTTTCATTAAGTAAGGTTTTAGTTTTGAGTCTTATGAATAAAAAAAAAAATGTTTAAGAGAGTTTTTTTTTTATAAAATCTAATCCAATTCAATTCCAAATTAATTAAAATCAAAATGCCTATAAGATCAAATAATAATAATAATAATAATAATTATTATTATTATTATTATTATTATTTAAAAATATATATTATCCTCCGCCTAATCCTATGCAGAATCACGTACAGCATCTGGCTCTAACTTTTTACTAGGATTTTCTCTCTCTAGAAAATTGGTGCCCTCTTTTATGAGTTGGATCTGTCTTTTTATGGATCTTCGTGTAGACAACAATTCGATCCCCAAGCGACTCAAAATAACCCAGGTTTTTCTTTTTCCATTTTTTATTAAACAAAATTATGATTTTTTTTATCGCGCTTGCTTTTATCGATTGATTAAGAGTGCTTCAGTGGATGGAATTTGGTTTAGTTGTCTTTTGCTGGATGATCTTTTGACTGATTTTCGGTTTCGATCGGAATTCTGTTTTTTACTATTATTTTTTTGTTTTCTCTGTCTCTTTTACTAAATTAGCTTCACATGCAATGTCTCTGATTATTATTATATCTTATTTTTTAAAGTCTCTGTTTTGTTGTTTGGAAAATTCCCTCGACGGGAAAAAGTCGAGGTATTAGGCTTTGTTTGGAAGGAAGGAAGGATGGAAAGGGCTAAGAATAAAAAATTCGAAGAAATGTTCTCGGTGCAGAAGGCAAATCAGTTTCACCGTTGAAAAAAAGATTTCTGCTTTTTTTCTTTCGCTTTCCTTTCCAGTTTCTCTATGGGCAAGTAGAAACCTTAGGTTAATTTTGAATTGTCAAGTTGTTTTTAATTTTATATTATTATTTGTTTTGCGCGTTTTCTTTCGTGTAAAGTCTCATTGCATCCATGCATATATTTGACATGCCTGTACTATGTATATGTTTTTAGTGATGGGGGTTTTAATTTTTTGTGAGAAGCGAATAAAAGGAGCGGGGGCTTGGCCAAAATAAATGAAAGGAGGGGAGGGGACCCTTGGTTCGAAGCCAGGGCTTGATGCTGTACTGGGCCGGTTACAACCAGGCTGTGGGGTAGTTGTCGCTGGTTATTTTGGACACAACAGAATCAGTGCTTCCACTTTGAAGAATAAGAAATCAACCCATAATACTTTTAATTGTATTTCTTTGAAGCATAAGCAGTTTAGTGTATCCTAATTTAGTTTCTTTGAGTTCATAGTGTTTTCTTTCCATTTTAGTATTAAAAAAGGACTAAAGTAAGGAGTTTGGTATTTGTGCTATATGTCTAGCATTTTATAAACAGGTTTATAGATCACTTTTCAAATAAGCAGGCTTACTTTGTTTCTGTTTTACCTTTGTCCTCTAGAGCAGTTGAATATTTTGGGTGAATATTTAGTTTCATTTTGCTTTTGAAGGAATATCGTTAATTGAATTTTAATTTTATTCTGAAGTAGTAATCCATTCGGCAGTTAGCCTTAATATTCATTTCACAGCTACATATATGAACAATTAGAGCATCTCCAAAATTTCAATGCATGCATGAACAGCATAATCTCATGTCGCTGTTATGTTTCCCATTTTTATATCATTGTATTTGGAACCTTCTGATATGCAACTCTTAAGCTTTTACTTAAATTTTTGCTTTGACCATATGCTGAGGAAACAATCTTGTTGTTTAGATTTTTCTTTGTGATGCAATGGATATTGAGCAAGTTGAAGATCCAACAACAGTTTTGATTGGTTCTGAGAAAACTGGCATGGACAGCAAGGGAAAGGCTAAAATATGCTATGAAAAGAAGCAGGAACACCATGTGAAGGTATGTGGTTGCAATTTTAACAGGCAATTGCATAGCACAGTTTTTTATTTATCCATCATCAACGGACCTTTAATTGAATTTTCTTCCCCTTTTTTCCAGGATGCTTTAGCCAGTGATCAGGGAAATTCTGTTAGTGTAGCAGGGTCTGAGGATAGTAACAATCCTCTCAAGACTTCTTCCTCAGGATCAATCATTTCAAATAATCTCAATAGTTCTAACTCTGACTTGTCATATCATGATAATGATGAGGATTGTGATAAGGACTGTGATGACTATGCTGATGATGTTTCTGATTATGGTGACAATGATGATTTCTTGTACAAAGATGATTATTCTATTATGCAATCCCATTTTGATAGCGTGGATCTTCCTCCTGGGGTAGAGGCTTCAATTCCTTGGTTGAAAGACCCTTCTCCAATTGGAAATTTGTCTCCGACTCTGAGTGCCTCAACTTCTCCTTGTCTGGCTGAAAGCAAGAAGGCAACAAAATCAAATTCGGCTGATAGCAAAGTGAAGTCAGCTTCTACCAGTAGTTCAATGGTCCCAAGAGAGTCAGGGTCTGATTGGAATGAAGGAAATGAAGAACATGGAGTTATGCAAACATTTTCGAGTTTCAAACATTTTGATGTTGTGGATGATTTTTCAGACCATCATTACAGCAATTTGACCTTATCAGGGGAGAAGGTGAGGATGCATCTTGTTTCTTTATCATGCTAAATTTGTGTGTATTCATATAATATGATTTTTGCACTTTCTATTGATAGCAACCGAAGGAGTGGGTGAAGCGAATTCAAGATGAGTGGAAAATTCTGGAGAATGACTTACCAGGTTAGTTCTGATTTATGAATATGTTTTCTGAGATAAGGTGCCATTGGGATACTAACTGATGAGGAATTAAGTATGTTAGGGTCTTTTTATTTGGGTCATGAAATTACCTTTATCAAGTTTTAACTCCTGTCATGACTGAAACTATGTTCACACTGCACATTGCTCAGCTGAATAACATTTTTAACATTATGCATATCAAACTGTGTATGACAGGAGCTATGGTTTCCAACTTTGTACCTCCTTACTTTTCCCTTCCCTTCTAGAAAAGCATTCTACAATTGCAAAAAATATGAAAATTACCACTTTTTGCTTCTTATCTCCTGGCATTATTTTGTTTAAATGACTCATGTTCCCCCTCTCTGTTCCTCCACAGAAACAATATACGTGAGGGTTTATGAAGCAAGGATGGATCTTTTAAGGGCTGTCATTATAGGCCCTTCTGGTACTCCATATCATGATGGCCTTTTTGTCTTTGATTGTTTCTTCCCTCCGAAATATCCCAACGAGCCACCGGTATGTTCAGTGTGCGTGTGTCTGTGTGTTTCCCAGAAATGCCCATATTAGAGTATTATAAAGTATAAACTTATTACCGTGTTTAATGGATATTTGGAATTTCGTATCAGATGGTTTATTATTATTCTGGTGGCCTCCGGTTAAATCCAAACTTGTACAACTGTGGTAAGGTATGCCTAAGCCTTTTGGGCACCTGGTATGGTCAACAGACTGAGATGTGGGTTCCAGGGCAATCAACCATGCTACAAGTTTTGGTTTCCATACAAGCTCTGATTCTGAATGCTAGACCCTTCTTTAATGAGCCTGGGTATGAAACTTCGTATGTTGGGGCTAACGGCGACAGGAGGTCCAGGAAGTACAATGAGGAAGTATTTGTTCTATCCTTAAAGACAATGATTTACACACTAAGAAGACCGCCCAAGGTATTTTTGGTTATTTAGTTTATTAATTATTCACTTTTGTCTTTTTTTCATGAAGTTTTTTTTTTTCTTTTCTAGGTAAGCTGCCCAAAAAATATGATTGCCACAAGAATATATTATTGTGTTTGTCTGGGATTCTCCTTTTATTTCTTTTCATGGAGTTTGTATACTGATGATTGACCTCTTTGTTTTGTACTTGCATTGACACAATTTGACTACCCCCGCATTTTCTTCTATCTGTATTGCCATTTGCCAATGAGCACAAGTGACAAAAAATAATTGGCTTGTTGTCTATGGTCTCAGCATTCTGTCAGGCATGTTTGTCAAATATGATAGCTTTCCTATTCTTTTTGTGCTCATTGCACTTCAAGATTTTCTTTCTAACAGTTATAATAACAGATTCACATATCTATGTAGATGTGGGAATTGATAGGGGCACAATGTTATGTAAATTTTACATTTTTACATCCTGATTTAATCAGCCATGTTTTCTCTACAGCATTTTGAGGACTTTGTTGCTGGTCATTTTCGCAACCGTGCAGGTGACATTGTCGTGGCATGCCAAGCATATAAAGAGGGTGCTACAGTAGGGTCTGTTGTGTTTAAAGACGGTGTTCTGGATGCTAATAAAATTGAAAAGGGTAGCTCTGAGGAATTTAAAGGAGAAATGCCAAAGATGATTAATGCAGTGGTTAAAGAGTTTGTAAAGAATGGGTCAACAGACTGTGAGCAGTTTCAGACTAGTAGAAGCTGATACCATTTTGGAATTGGTTAGATGTAAAACATAGGACGGGGTTGTTGAGCCATTGTGGAAGCTAATGTAGAGCGGTTTAGTTTAGTTTAGTTTGTCTTCCAAATGCTTTGGTGAACACAATTCTGATGAACTTGATTACATTATTACAGTATATAATTCTGGGATTCTATTTAGATATAACTATATTTACGTAATGGAATGGCTCGGAATGATTAAAAGAGTTTATACATCACATGCTTCTTTTTGGTCTTACCGTAGCGATTTTGCCTTTGCAGTACCAACCGAATGCTATCTTTGAATGCTATTTTTATTATTATTTTTTGTTTAAAGAACAAGAGCAATCCAACTTCACTTTGGTCTATCATCTATGTATACGATGGAAACAAAATTGTCTGTGTCAATACGATGAATGATAGTATCTGTATCCTCGTTATCCCTTTTCCGGACTGTATAGAGTTTGAAGTTACGTTGAAAATTGGAAATCCCAACCAGGGAACTAAATCGTTATCGTTATGCACTTTTTATAGCGGACTGTTTAATTTTTTATTCATTTTATTTTTTTGTTTTTGGTTTGGACGTTTTTCACCTACATTTTATTTAAAGATAAAAACTCTATTTACTCTTCTTGTGATTTGAACGTTTCTCACGGATTTTTTATTTTCTTTTTCATACTCCCATATAATGAAGTTTGGTGTCCGCAGCCGTTAATTTTATCTGATAAAATTATTAAAATATCCTCAATTCAATAAATAAATAAATAAAAAGCAAAGGTGCCTTGTGGAAAGCTCCAAACCTTTTAATCTACATACTCCTTGCATTTTTTTTTCTCCCTTCCTTCGATCCTGTTCTTGGCCGTGGCTGTTGGATGGTAGGATGTGAAGTTCAGGTTCAATAAATTATGCAATCCATTCATTAGGATATATACCTATACATACATACATATATATATATATATATAGTCACAAAGACTAAAAGTCAGCATTAACAGAAAGTGTAGGTCTAATTTGAAGGTTGTTAAACTTTGGGTTTTGGTTGGTAGAAATGATGAAAATTTTTTAATTCAAGGATTAAATACAAAGTTAAAAAAGTGATTATGAAATTTAATTATATTAGATTAAATGTTTTTTTTGCTACCATATATTAAGGCCTCGTTTGAATTTAAAAACACCTGCATTGAAACGTGTTTTGAGGATTTAATTGCATCGTTAAGATGTTTGGATAACAAATTTGCATCAAAGTGAGATATTTTTATCGCCCTTCATCTTCGGTCTGGGACTGGACCCTCATGGGTTCAGTGAACAATTGCAAATTTGCAACGTATTTTTTTTCTTTATGTGTTTTATTTTTTTCAACACTTATTAGTTTTTTTTTTATTATTTTGTTTTACTTTTACAATTTTTTACTTGAAAATTTTCAAATGCATATTTTTTTACCAGATCAAATTATTAATTTTTAATTATTTATAAACAAAATTATTATTTGATATAAAAATAATTTAACAATTTATTAATTATTTATTAATTTCATAAATATTAAATAATTTAAATTTTTTATTATATATGATTTTTAATCTATTATTCTTAATAGTAACTTTTTTCTTATTATAATTTATTTGGCTGTCACCTTTATATTTATATTCAAAAATATATTTTATTATTGATTTTAATTTTATTATTACAGCAATTAATCTTATCATCATCGTTATTTTCAATCTTATATCTCCCCAAATGAACTCTCAGCAAAATCTAAAACTTGGCTTTACAAGATAATAAAGATTCGTTCATTCCGTGAAGACGAAGCTTTAATAGGGTTCCTTTTCTTTTTCCCTATTTCTTTACTTTAAAGGAGGTAGGAGGAATATTATTAAACACAAACCCTGATAAAAGAGGCACTCACAGTCACTCATCAAAATACTTTTTTAATATATATATATATATAGTTATATATAGTTAATCAAAACAAGATGCAAAAGTACAAGTAGTATGTTGGTTTTCATGGTTGATTCAGTCTCCTCCGTCCATTTATTCCTCAAACTCAAGTGTTTGCATAAGCGCTCGTTAAACCCCGTCAGGCATTCATCATCTACGTGATGTGTAAAAGAAAATTAAAATAAAATGGAATAAAGAGAGAGAATTAAACGCGTAGATTAGGTTGTATATGACAAGTAACTAGAATAATCAAGAGAACCTATCAAAAGAGAATAATAATTATGAAAAGAAAAACGAATTTATAGGAGACTCTTTAAGAAATAATGATTCGGAGTCAAGAGATTTATAATAATAAAATGTATATCGAAATGATTATATGTTAGAACATGCACAGATAAAAGGAAAATTAAAGATTTAAATTGTTCAATCTTTAATTATTATTTATATATGTTTCAATCTCGATCTTCTCTATTAGTATTAGCCTAGTTAAAGGTAATTAAAATTAATTTAAAATTTAATTTATTTGATTCATGCAATCAATATGATATCTAATAAATTTGAATTCAAATCTCAATATTTATAATCTATTCTTTTAGCTTAAAGTTACAATCTCTGTAAAACAAATAACTAAAACATCTATAAATTATTAACACTATAATTATACAATTTCAATAATAGACAACAATTAATAGATACTAATCACACATGATTATCCCATATATAATTATAATAGTACGAATTCATGTCCAATGATAGGTATCAAAACTTAAGTGATAATATTAATTTCACACACACGTATAGCTAGGATGACACTAAAATTAACAAGTACAGTGATAGAGCTAGTATCTCAGCTGAAAGTTGTCAAAGGACTTGAGAAATCCAAGGGCAGCATCGCTAGCCTTTTCAGGTGGAGGGGTTGCGGGTGCCAGTGGCTCAAACTCTGCCTTCCATGCAGCTATGCACTTATCGTTTTCTTCTCCTTCCATAGGAATGAATGAGAAAGTAACCCTGTAAGGATCATACATCTCCTTCAAATCCCCTCAAATCACCTGATAACTCACCGACCGTCCCATTTCCACCTTTTCTATCTTCTCCATTGATTCTTTCACATAATTGCATACAGCTGCATATATAATTAGAATTAGATGCAATTAGTAATAATTTGGCTATCATTTTCCAGGCTATGATTGTTCAAGTTTGCAAAAACAAAATTGTGAAAATCTTACCTTCAGTGAGATAAAATTGTGGAAAGGGTAACCTGACAAATATATTTGTTTGATCATTTTTATGAGAATCACTGTTTTCTTTCAACTATATATCTACAAAAACTTGTTATTTCGAAGATCAGTTTTGAACTTTTGATCCTTCTGACCATTACATGTGCTATATATATTTGTGCCAGCCTTAGCCAGGATGTTTCATTGCTTGATTTAAGTTAGAAAGAATTGTATGCATTTTCGGTACTACGAGCCCACTTTATTCTATATGTCATGACTAAAATATGAAAAGATGATGTGTTTTCGTAAGCTATAAAACTTTCCCAAGCTAACAATACGAGTTAATATCATAAACTACAGTTTTAATGAAACTTCATAGAAAAGAGAGATTCAATATCAATCCAACAGATTCACCGGAGGTGAAGGTGGGGGGGGGGGGGGATTGAGACATGTACGTGTGTGTATACGTACCAGGACCAAGTTTGAAAAGCCTCAAGCTGCCAGGGCCACCATCTCCTTGTATGTACTCAGCCCCAGACAGCATTTCAGGGTTGATTTTGCTAATGATATCGTTGTTTCTGTACATTTCCCATGCTTTCTTGGCTGTGATGTTAAGCACCACTTCTCCTTTCATGATCTTCATCTTCCCTCTCTCTCTCTCTCTCTCTCTCTCTCTCTGGTTTGTTTTGTTAGTATGGGTGAATTAAAAAAAGGACAAACACTTTAATAGACATTCTATCCAGGTGGAGATTGGTTTAATGATAGGACAATGCAATAAAGCCCACGTAATGCTCTCTTTCTCTCTTTGCAAGTAGTATTATTTTACAGGGGAAAGATGAGAATGTGCCTTGCCTCCGTAGCAAATTATCTCCTACACTAGATATGTAATGCCCATGAATTCTTTTTTATTGTCCTTTACTTATAAAATAATAATAATAATAATAATAAAATGAAAATCATTAAAAAAAACCCCCAAAGGAAGAATTCAACTGAGTTAATCAGCATCCATATACCATGTATACATTTAATATTTCTTCAAAAAGATAGATGCCACATCTCTTTATAGCTGCCCATGTTTGAGATAGAATGACCATTGACGTTGCAAGTCTTGTGATACACCAGTACTAACAAGAGATAGGAATTCATGTTCATCAACCAGAATTAGTAATGAATAAATTTTAAAAAAGAATAGTTTTTTTTTTTAAATCCAAGAATGTAATAAAATTAATTACTATAGTAGCGAAAGTAAATATTATAATGATAATATTAAAACCAATAAAAGAATATGCAATTGTAACAATATAATGATAAAATCGAATACTATAATGATGAGATTAAAATCAATAAAAAAAGTAATATGTGTTTAGATATAATGAGGTAATCTAGTGAGAAGAAATAATAATCATTAAAGATATTATATTAAAATTTGTATATAATAAAATTTACAATACATATTTAAAAAATATTTAATAAATAATTAAAAATTACCAAAATTATTTTTATATGTTAAATAATATTTTTGTAAATAAATATTTAAAAAATATTTGTATATATATATATTTAACATTTAAAATCTTAAACATTTTACTCAATAAATATTAGCATATTATTTTATATTAAAATAACATATTTTTTACTTCTAAATGAAGACAATTGAATGCCATGATTGGATAATAAATTTTCTACCAAATTCAAACTTTTTGGACCATTAAAAAAAAAAAAACAATCGGATGCATGATAGAAAATATTTATGCCTTAAGACTTATTTAAACTTTTCACGCTACTTTTAAAAAAAGAGTTAAATATAAAAATGGCTCATGAATTTTATACTTTTTTTTACATTGGTACCTAAATAATTAAAACTATCACATTGGTACTTGAACTTTAATTCAAAAACTCACTTTATCCCAAAGTTTAACTTTGTTAAAAAAAAAAAAATTGATGTGGCTTAAATGACTAGTTAAAAAACACAGGCTGTCATTAAAATTTCATGTCATGTAATTGAATTTTCACATAAGATATTAATTTCAAACAAAAAAATAATTTTTTATTTGTTTTACCTAACATAAAACATCACTTTCGACAAGAATGATACATCAAAAAAGAAAAAAAATGTTGTTTTAAGAACAAAAAAATTACTCAAAAGATATAAAGAGGGATTAGGTTTTGGAATTAAGTCTTTGTAATCGTTTCAAACTGTAGGATTAGAGTGTGATATTT